AGCAATTCTGAAAGGCTGCAGAAACACTCACCCTTTAGGGGTCCCAGTATCCAGAAATGTTACATGCAATGGAAACACAAAAGTTCAACATTTTGATATTTTAAAAGATTTCCCCCTTTTAAATCCTCCTTATAAATGCCTGGTTGTAGCAACGTGAAAGTGCTTTCTTGTGAAAACATGCAGCAGGGTTCCCTTCCCTTTTCATGTGTACTAGCAGCTGCAAAACATTCCAAATGAGCTAAAAGGTCATTATGGAGACTATTAATAAGATGACATTCAGTGCTGGCCTCATCAACCAACGGAAAGCCTTGCCCCAGAAAATGAGAAAAGAGGAGGCAACAGTGCTTACAAAATACTCTAAATTCTGTGTTGCTTTCCAAATCCCAAATAACTCTTCATAGTTAGCTATCCCTCATGCTATTAACCCACCCCACTCAAGTTCAGTTTCCCCTGTGTTCAAGGGCTGCATTTGTACTTATTTCTTAAGTCTCCAGAGCTTTGAGATGTGCAAACAGTAAAGAATCACATTAATCCTGCTTTGATCTTAGAAAGGAGATCATAGCAGAAATCGGGTCACCACAGAGATAGGCGCTGCTGGGAAAATGAGCTTTATTTTTTTCTTTTTCTTTTTCCTTTAAGATATCTCCCTTGGCTTCAGGACATTCATTGCTAGTTAGCAAACTGGAGAATTGTCAATATGAACTATGAATAACTTGTGATTTAAAAGTGAGACAATTGAGCTNTTTTTTTTTTTTTTTTTTTTTTTTTTTTTGTCTTATAAATCTAGATACTGGAGTTAATGTACTCACCATGTCTATTTGGTTATTTACATAAACACATTGGACCATATTCCAAATACATGCCCCAAACACAACCTCCACAGGAACTTAATTGCCTGAAAAAAAAAAAAAGTTGTATTTCCTCTGCTGTCTTTTACCCTGGAGTCCTGTAAGCATAGAATAATGGTAGTTAATCTGCTTAGATAATTTAAGACTTAAAGATTAGAAGGCCTATATTGACAATTTCAAAATTCAAGTCTGAGTGCTTTGGATAAGCAAAGCTTAGGAGATGACAGATGTGATAAAAGAACTGCCAAAAACTAGACTTTATTAAAACTAAAAAGTGTGATGTTTTTGTGGCTCTGAAAGAAATGATTGTTATAATGCTCACTCAATCCAAATGTGTCCCTAAACAAACAACTACAGGGGTATTTTATTTTATGTTACCTGATATTTATACACATAATACAGCATTTCTCTCTGCTTGCATATACACATGCAGATAAATTTTATAGTGCTTTTCAGCCCACCTCACACATATATAAATATAGTTAATCAGTGTAGTTAATATAGCTGAGCTACATACTCAACACAAGTGATGTGTGCATAATCATAAGCATTTGTGCTAAACACACATCCTTCCCCTCATTTCCCAATTTGCTGTGGTAGCATCAACATATCACAGGAGGCTACTTACAAAGCAGTAGCTGTCATCCAGTTTTCTTCAGAATGTGTAGATTGGGAAGAACACATGAAGATATCTGAATTTGTTAAAAATGCTATTTTCTTTCAAATTATTCCTATTGAAGTTGATTTTCATTTAACCTCAATGAGCCAGTCTTGATGACAGTCCAAACCACACTGACACCAAGGCTACCCCAATGCTTTTACATGTAGCATAAAGTACATTAAACTGCTTTGCACCAAATATGTCCTTTTGAAGTGATTTTAGACCTGGTTTGCTAGGAGAACTAAAGTGGGAAAAGAGAATTTAGGGAGAAAGAGGGCAAGGAGAGAAAGTAGGTGAAAGAGAACCATATGAATAGAAAGTTGGTGAAAGGGAAAGTTTTGTGGCCATAGGTTATGTCCTGTGAATTGTGGAGGATTTTTTCATATTCAGTGTCTGCCTTCATTTTTTTTTTTTTTTTAATCTGTTCTTCTAAATCTGCTACCATTAAAGTTGGGTTCTAGAGAATATGTAGTGGAAGCTACCAAAATATCCCTTTAGGAGATGTTGAGAACATCTTATTGGATACAGATGCATTAAGCATTGCATTAAATGTCCCAAGAATGCTTATTTTGGTGACATTTAGCTGAAAAATGTACTGTGCTAAAATGGGCTGATTTTTGTTTTGTCTTGTGACTTAATCTCATTCTACAGATTACTTTATAAGCTGACTTTACCCATATTTTGAAGTCAAAGATATTTACTTTCCACAGGAGCAACAAATGTTGGCTACTTTTTGGTCCTTAAAGATGGCAGTAAACATTTCATCTTAATTATATTTAGAGTTTTGTTAAAAATTGTAATCTTTTCAGTCCACTCTCTTCCTTTTATCAGTGTCCCAAGATCCTGGCATGTCATATGTGTGTAAGGAGAGAGAATAGACCTCCTTGTCTTCTTAATTAAAGTTTATACAGCTTGTAGAAAGTAGTAATTTTCTAGAAAATTAGATCATTTTAGGTCACCATAGTTCCACTCTTCTTTCTTAAACATGTTTCTAAGCAAATCTTGCCCCTTAAAAGCCATCAATTAAAAAGCAGATTGTGGGAGAAATATGCTGAATTTACAGTATTTGGATTTAGAAATCTGACTCTGCCTCCATGAGAGTATGTATAAATGATAAATCCTACCCTGTATCCATGGTGTGACAACCCATGTTGGTTTTTGTATGGCATATCAGAGTGACACATGATACTTCCCATCCCTGTTCATTAGAAACAGCATCATTTTTACCTCTCTCCTCATTATGGGGGTTGTGATTCACATGCACAATACATCCTTCTTAAGTCAGGATTTATTTTTTAAACAAGATAGAAACCAAATTTAAGAAGGACATAATCAAGGTATTGAACCAAAGGATTTAAAAAATAACCAAAAAAAGGAGTCATTTTCACATTTAAAAAATGTTATGCTTACTTTTAGGAGATTCACCTAAACTTTTTTGTGGCTTCTCATTGCCTATAGAGGAAAGATAAGCACCACTGTGACGTAACTGGGGAGGCAGTCAGACTCTAGTGGTGGTGGGGGGCTTTGGAGTCAGACTGCTGAAAAATCTTCAGTAAGTTATTTTACTTTTCCAAACCTCAGTTTCTTTCAGTACAATTGGAATAACAATAGAACTGGTTTAAATGATGATGGTAGAATTAAGTGAGACAAATACCTGTAAAATGCTTAGCAAGATGTTTTGTGAAAGGTAAATGTTCAAAGAATACAAGTTAATGCTTAACATTAGCATAAATGTAATGCTTCACAAGGCCTTTCAGTTTCTACTTCTGTATATGCTAACCCCTTACACTGGAAAGCCCTCTCGGTTCATTGGCCACCTAGCTGACTTCTCACCTCTCTACCTCAGCTCAAGTGACATCTCCTCTGGGGAAATCTCCAGAGCTTGAAATTAGGTGCCTGTTTTTATGCCTCTGGAGTATCCACTGCTTAATTCTTTTACAGCATTTTTCAAGTTTTATTGTAATTGTTTTTTTAATCTGTCTCCTTATTGAAACTATAAGTTGTAGTAAGCACAATATAACATTTATATTTCTCAGAGCTCACAACTGAGCCTGATAGATAGTAAATACTCAATATATGTACAGTGAAAGAATATTCAATTTTTTTTTGTTTTGTTTACATTTATAAATAAGTTGTAATTGGATGTATTCTTTTGTCTTTAGTTTTCTCTAGTTAGTATTTCTCAAGGAAATACTAAACTTTGGGAGCTTAAGGTGGGAGAATTCCCTGAAGCCAGGAGTTTTGAGTCCAGCCTGGACAACAAAGCAAGACTCCTGTCTCTACAAATAGATAAACAAATAAATAAGAATTAGGCATAGAAGTGTGCATCTGTAGTCCTAGCTACTTGAGAGGATCACTTGAGCCCAGAGGTTTGAGACTGCAGTGTACTCCCGCCTGGGTAACAAAGCAAGATCCCCACCTCAAAAAAGAAAAAGAAAAAGAAAAAAAGGAGTGCTAAAAGGAACCTATTATTTCCCTGAGTAATTTTATGAAGAGGTTTGATTTGGGGCTCTATAATGAATTCTTGACATTTTCAGGACAAACTATTTTTGGTGAGTTCTTATTTTAATTGAAGAACTAATAGACATATTGGGTTACCTGTCCAATCCTTAGACATTCGGTTGTACTATTCAGTATATGGCTTATTCATATTCATTGAGGGTGATTTGGATTATCTACTTGAGTGCTAATAGGTTTCAACTACCACAATGCCCTAGCCAAGTGGGCTTCCAATTAATCCAATTATGTCAAGACATATTATAGTTAACAGGGTTTGGAGGGATCATAAACATTTCAAAAAACTATTTAGATCTATTTCACTGGCATCTTGGGCACATACAACTGTTGGACAGAAATACAAGGAAACCTCACTGTCTTAGGCTAATTTGAGGGAAGACCAGTATAAACTATGATATGTCAGAATTATAAAATGTTGTAATATATTATATAGAACATACTTACATAAGCCAGGGATTAATATTCTGTGGCCAAGACTCATAACTGGATCTGCTTTAATAAGTAGGACAGAATTCGTGTTTATTTCATTAATTGTTAGAAGCAGTTGTTACTGGAGTGTTTGAAAGCAGTCTATTTCCTTAAGAAGATTAATCACCCCCTGCAAAGCTAATTTAATTAGAGCTGTAAACTCTCTTCACCAAAGGAAAAGTTAAAGCCAATTCCCCAACTTAGAGTTATCAAATGTTTCAAAGGCACAAGGTGTGAATTAACTAGGTTTTCCTGGAATAACTTAATAAATATATGAGTTAAGTGATAATAATGATGATTCCTGCTGTTCTGCTCATGTAAACTGTAATTAATGTTTATAACGTTTCTCCTAGCCCCTCTTCAAAATTAAATTAAGCACTACAAAATTATAAAAGAAAAAAAGAAATTTTATTCTGTTGTGAGAACATTAGAATTTCTATTAATGATGAAGGGATATTCAGGTTTTCCAACTAAAGAATAAAGTAAATATTTTGATTTGGTTGCAGATCCAGAGAATGAACCTCATGGAAAGCTGCAAAAAGAACTTGGGGAGGGTCAGGCAGTCTGTTTTCTTGTACCCAGCCAAGGCACTCTGAAGCCATTATAGAGCCTGTACTGCTTGACATCCAAGGCAGTGCTAATCCTGCACTCACATGTTTTCATGAAGATTTTAGTTGCCTGCTTAGACAAAGAAGATCAAAGAAAGGTAAGGAGTGGAGGGACAGAAATTGTATTTTGCACTAGGCAAATACAATTTGGGATCTGGAATACTAAGAATAGGAAACAGTAAATTACTAGTATGGGCTATGGTAAAGTTTGCCATGTGGATGTCTTTTTCTGCCTCTGCATTTCTTTTGTCACAATTCCCATTTATTTATGCCCCATATATTTCCATGAAGGATTTGAAATGGCTTTAATAACTGACACACAAGACAAAACAAATATTTTCCTCAGCCTACTCTCACTTTAGATTCAAGCTATGGAGCTCACAGCAGGCTCCACAAGAAATTTCTGCCAATGGAACTAATCATTAACTGGTTTTATTATTAACACAAAGAGCATGCATAAAAAACTCTTGCTCTCTTTTTCCTATATAGTTAATGTTGGTCCAGAAAGACAACCTCTTTTCCTCTTTCCAAACATCAAAATTAGTTTTTGTCGCATAAACGTGGCCTAACTAGTCCGTCTATCAACCATAGTTAAAAGATATTAAAACAAGATACAACTTCTCTTGGAAGGCTATTCCTTGTGGTTGCTGAAAGGATAGTGTGAAAACTTTATTGTTTCAGATTGGACCTCCCAAGCTTGACTGTGAATTTTTATGCCTGAGTGTGTAAAAAACTCCAAGAAAAACACAGCCCAAACCACCACATTTTGCTTGCTTTCAGGTTCAAACCCTATAAAACCACCACATTTTGTATGGTTTCCACTCCAAACCATAAGTTGGCATGAGGTCTCACTAGACGTTCTGCTCAGGTCTAATTGAAATGTTTACCAACCTTGACAACATTTTTTTGTGAACTTGTCACTTATTTGGAATGCAGGTGAAACAAGCTGAGTTCTCAGCAATAGTTGCCTCATTTTGATTCCTTTACTCTATCCCCACCACCCAACTATAGACATGGGGCACTTTTGTTGTCCTCAGTCAGTTATTATTACTCCTTCTGTGACATTCTGCTGATGGTTGCCTTGGACCTTCTAACTCCTTTTTTCCCCTCCAAACTTATGTCTTCTGTGTATCATCCTTCCAGATTATGCACTTTTAAGCTAATTAGATAAATCAGCTTTGCTAAGGTGTTAACAAGATTTCAAAATTCTTAGGGAATGCACAGGGCACTAGATTGTGAGTTTGTTGTGGCAGGCATAGCCTCTTGCTGACAATTTAGAATTGGTAGATAAAACATGGGATTTTTAATTGCTAAATCTGACAATCCCATGACCACTATATCTTCATCTTCTAGTAACTCCCACACAGTATGTTCTCAATAAATACTGATTGAAAATGACTACATGAAAGTAATGGAATATATATCTATATATATATAAATCCTTTGATTCTCTCTAAAACCTATTACATAGGGAGCTGAGTCACCTCTTAGGCCTGCTTTTATGATTGCAGGCTTCTGAGTTTGTTTTTCATGGAGATTCGAGTAGGTGCGTAATCTTTGACTTTTCTTCCTTCCGTTGTTTTCTTCTGGTCATTGTTCTAGAGTAGCATCTGTCTTCCTTGGAAGAGCCTGTAGAATAGAAAGGAGTGAGGGAGGGATCACCTGCTATTGTTGCATTGTTCAATAAGGGAAGAGCAATCCTGAAAACTGGGTTGGGAGACTTTGAGAGAATGGAGAAGCTAAGCAATCGCATCCTACTGTCATTCTCTCCCCACCAGAAGTGGGAGTTCCCTTAATAAGTACAAACAGGAGACTCTTGGGAGTCCACAGGGGCTGAGAGGGGAAGTTATAATCTCAGATTGGGCTGACTAGAATCTTTATAAATAGTCCTAATACCCCCAAAGTCATCATCGTGAGGACCCTTAAGGCCTCTGTGGAAGTGGAAAAACTCTGCAGCATGTTTATTTTATAATTATGTTAAATTATCAATTACATTTATCATTGCAACTGCTGTAAAATCACAAGGGTGTTCTTATTTTTATAACTAGGGGCCATTGGGCATAAATGCAGCGTTGCTTTGTCTTTATTTGTTGCATCTATTGTTTTTTTCAATAAGTTCCCAGAACTTTTCCGATACTTTCTTATACCTTTCTTTTGGTGAAGTCAGTAGCTTTTGGAAAAATGAGACTTGGAAAACAAAGAACTTGGTGGAGAAAGTGCTTATGCTTTAGGGAACTCTTAAGCACATGCTATGTTAGTATGTTGTATGTTTATTTAGAGCTGTAACTAAAGTTCATGGTTGATATATTTTCATGTATTGGTTGCCCCGGAAAGGCAAGGGAAATACTTTAACCTTGAGACAAACCAGGTCTGAGCTGGACTGAGCCCAGGACTCTCCTACACACTAACTCTCTCAAATTCTGTTTTGTAAGTGGATTATCTCTGCCACTTGTTTATCTGATTTCTAGAATCTACTTCTGGCCTCAGGCACAATGACAAATAGAGGAAAACTATTTGCCATCTTGCTACTGAATTCTGTTCCTGTAACAAAACAAGGTCAAAGTGCTTTGAAGGCCCATCCAGGAGGAGTACTTTCAAAAGTGTAGAAGGTTGGTTTTCTACATATGATGGTTAAACATAATGTGGGTTTTATAGTCAGTTTTATCTGGAATGTAATTCTGGATCTGTCCTTTCTTAGCTGGAATTGAGTTCTTTTATCATTCTAGGCTCTAGTTTTCTAGTTTGTAAAGGGGAGGTAATTTACTGTATCTACTGCATAGGGTTGTTAGAATTAAATGACCTATTTGTGGTGAGTTTAGCTCATATATAGTGGTCAACAAATGGCAGTCATTATTGTTTAAAGTCTAGAACGGAAGACTTAATTTTTAAACAGAATCTCAGAATGTCCCTGTCCACAAGTACACCTGTGTGGCCTGGATCTCACTTGTGGGCCATGATGGAAAGTGTGGCAGTAATGTCCCTGTACCTGGCTGGCCACATTCCTGGTCCCTCCCTTGAATGTCCAGCCTCTGGTTTAACTGGAGTTGGAAGACAGGGTTAGAACACTCTTGCACCCTCTGAGATAGCCAGGGTTGGGGCCTGGTGGAAGGTGGGTGAGGCTTCCCTGGTGCCAACACAAATTGCCTTTGACCTTCCCAGCTGCTCCTTCTACCCAACTTTCTCAGGGTTGTCTGGGGGCAAATGTGGTCCCAGTCCTGCAGAGGTGATGGCTTGGCCCACTGCCTGGGGCTCTGCTGGGCTCCTGGCCCTGCCCTCAAACTTCTAGCTCTCTTCTGGCTCAACCAGAAGTTCAGGTGTGAGGTGGCCTAGTGTTGTGTGTTGGCCTGGGAGAAGGGTGGAGAACAACACTTAAGCAATTTATCTACAGGCACCCTGGGGAAATTTGTGTGTGTGTGAGTGGAATTTTACTGCATGCTGTTTGTCCCTTTTACCTACTTTGAACTTTCTTTCTTTCTTTTTTTTTTTTTTTTTTTTTTGAGACAGTCTCGCTCTTTTGCTGAGGCTGCAGTGCAGTGGTGTGAGCTCAGCTCACTACAACCTCTGCCTCCTGGGTTCAAGTGATTCTCCTGCCTCAGCCTCCCAAGTAGCTGGGATTACAGGCGTACACCACCATGCCTGGCGAAATTTTGAGTAGAGACAGGGTTTCACCATGTTGACAAGGCTGGTCTCGAACTCCTGACCTCAAGTGATCCACTCACCTTGGCCTCCCAAAGTGCTGGGATTACAAGCGTGGGCCACAGCACCCAGCCTTACTCTGAACTTTCAATGAGTTCAATTCCACTAAAAGCATAAAAGCCACTGCAGATGAGTTGTGGAAAGAAGAGATTAGAGGAAGAAGGAAGCACTTGAGATGGGTTCCTCCCTTCAACATTTTACCATCTTCTTCCTTTTAGTCTTTCTAGAATGTCCATCTGTTTCTGGCCATTATAGAAAGAGAAGCTGAGTTTTAGAGTTAGGAGCTTTGAAATTCTTATTTCTTCATCTTTGCCCACCCTTCTAACCCTGTGTTCTGTTCCTTCTGCTATTCTTTTTTCTTAGAGCATAGGAAAGGGGAGCTTTTAAATGAAACTTAAAGTATGGAAAAAAAGAACTTCAGAGGAAAATGAAACAAGGGAGATGAGGCTGGTAAAGTAAGGAAAATGGAGAAGAGGAGGAGGAGGAAGGGTTAGCTCCTAAATTCCAAGTTAAGAGGAAACTGTCTCAAATTGACATGGAACAGGCAAGGCCTCCTGAGTTACTTAAACTTCAGAAAAGGATCCACCGAAATTTGATAGAAATGGAAAAGGAAATGCTTGGGGTAGAGAACCTCCAAACATTAGTAATGATTTTGAACAACTCAAAGTATTGAGGCAATCTGCAGGCTACATGCCTGTAGATCACACATGCAGAAAGATCAAAAGGGTTAGAATTATCTGTTGATATTAGTAATATTTCTTGACATCTAGCTAGAATTGGTAATTTTAAGTTTTAGATTCATTTCTTTGGTGATAGCTATGATATATTTTATAGATAAGAATTATATCCATAGGCTTGCTATCATAGGCTCCATTTTAATTAGCATTAATTTAGTCTCCTGTTTTTTTTTAAGCACATTTGAAACATTCATTTATCCTAGAAAAGTCATTGCCAAATAAAAAGATGATTCCTGTATGTATAAAAGCTATACATTAAGGAGGAGTGTCCCAAAATATGAAAAAAGTCAATTAACCTAAATAGTAACTGTTACAGGAACAAATATTTTCCTTTATGGGATTATATCATTTATATGAATTTGTATAATAAATTTTCTAAATGCTTTTGTGATGACGGAAGACTCTGCTTTGAATGAATTTCAGGTGTTTCATGTCCCCAGCAGAGGGGCAGCCACCCATAGCTGGGAGGTGGCCATAGACATCTCTGTGCCTCCAGTGCTAGCCCAGTGCTGGGCACATAGAGGCTCCAGTGTTTCTCAAGCCAAACTGAACTGTGAAGGAAAATAGTGAGGAGGAAATCATGAGGAAGGGTTATTTATTTGTTTGTTTGTTTTAACATCCTTATTACCTTGGTGGCAATCTGGTTTAGAGACCTACTCTGATCT